GGAACCCAGCTTAATCCTTCGTTGACGAGGATTTCAAGCAACTGAATGTGTCGCACCAGTCCACATCATGTTTCAGTTGGCACGATATTCGAGAGATTCAGTTGAGCTTTAGCTGAGTCTCCCGCCAAAACCAAATTGGAATGGGTGTACATCGCTAGTGTTCATTTTCGTTGTGTATACGCACACGAGGTCACGGAAATGTTGAATTTACGGGCGAATTGATTAACGGGTGAAAAGAATTCCAGGTGTGGATGAGCTAAATGAACCACACAGAAGTGTATGACCGTTGAAGTGTCGATTCAGGACATTGCCACCTTATACTGACCATTCCGTTCAACGTCCAACAAATAGGGTGGGGCAACATTTCGTTGAGGATGAAATCCTGAAGCCAGATATTATTGATCCCCTGGGATTCCGGACGCCTAGATTTGACGTAGAAACCGAAGAATCCCAAATGGTTTGGTCTCAAACTGCCTGTCTTCTGTTTCGTACTCAAACGACAACTGTCCACACGATAGATCAAAGCTTAGGCGAATAAAATTAAACGTTTCTCTTAAAGATAGTTTGACAGGCCATGTGGAACCGAAGGCTACTTAAAATTGTTACGGTTCTGTCACGCAGCGAGCAAACAATATGATAATGCGGATTGTGGCAATACTCTATCCCCAGCTATGTTGCTTGATCCAGACTCCTAGCACGGCGAATAGTAGGAACGCGAAAACCTCGGATACAAACTTTAATGATCCAACAACACACGATCAACAGGCGATGCCCGGAGCTTCCGAACCCAAGTCAGTGGAAAGAATGGTATCCTGTACGTGGTCGGATTTAAATTTCCTTGGAGTATCAATAGGCCATTGATTTTTCATAGTTTGACCTTGAAGATGCCGGGAGTTCGCTAGCACACATAAAAACACAGCATTTTCTGGGGGATATTGATATCCCCAACATGCCGTGACCAGGATAAGGATGAATATCTCGCAGCCACAACCTTTTGAAATGGGGATATATGGACCTTCTTGGAGCAGTTCGAGGGTTATACGCAGGCGGCAGGACTGGAGACCGATCGGAGTAATTTGGCGGTACTGAAGACCTTCCTCAGAGGCCGGGCGAAGGCGGCCCCGAATGCGGCTAGAAGGGGCCCTCGGAAGATGGACTGGACCGTCGCGAACGAAGCTCTTACAGTGGAGTTCCACAGCGACCGACCGCCAGGAAGCCATGAGGTGGTTCAAGAATGCCAGGATCAAACCGGGATGTGACCCGACAGTGTTTTATACCGGCCTACAGTTGTCGCTGGATCAAACCTTGCCGGGACCTGTCGGAGTGTCGCGCCAACATTTGCCGCCTGACCAGTTCGTCGAGGGTGTGCAGTCGCTGCTTCGTATCCAGTTGCGCTTGGTAAGAGCAACTGGCCAGTTGAGTGTGGAGCATCTGGTGCATCTGACACGGGAATTGGCCGAGAAGCCACTGGCGACGTTCCAATCGCAGGAGAATAGGATGGATTCAACAGCGAAGGACCTAAAGAACAAAGTGGACCAACTCGCTGAACAGCTTGCAGCCGTGAATACGGAATCTCACAGGCACGCTCGAACTAGCCGATGCCATAAATGTGGTATACCTGACCATTAGAATAATCAATGCTCTCGTACCCGACCACCTGTACATAATAGAACTTTGGATTACTCTGTTCCTGGGTGGGTTGCGATTAGTGCAGTGACACAGGCCGCTATCGAGATAGACGGGAAGAGAGGGCTGTGCTTGGTTGATACAGGAGCAGGGTTATCGTTGAGGCAAGCTGTATGCATACCGTGCGCACTAGCCTTGGGAGCAGTGGGTGGAAATCGACTGAAGATTGACGGATTGTCAATGCACTCAATGCGCCTAGGCAACAACTCTGTGGAGCACGCGTTCTGATCAGCTCATACATAGAGCAGACAATATTGAGGATAGGTTTTCTCAAGAGCACAGATTCCGTGGTTGACCTAAAGCAGGGAAAACTGGTGACTAGGTATTCGCTTGAAAGTTTCCCAAGCACTGCAGTAAACGAGCTGCATGTCCAAAAGCTTCCGTCTTGTAACGTGCCATCAGTACAGTCCGTGGTCAAGGAATATTCCGAGTGGTTCACGGGCGATGATCCGTTTGGCTTCCGCCCGTTGGTTGAACACGAAATTCCCCTCTCCGAATGCTTTCGACCTTACAGTCCCCATCCGCTGTCATTCCACCTAGGGGAGGAGGTCCATAAACGAATTCAAGAGATGTTGAAAAAAATAATCAAGGAAGCCAATAGTGCGTACAACTCCCCAGTTTTGCATGGTTTTCCGACGTTTGAATGAATTTGCCGTAAATCGGGTTGTAGCTGTCCTTTCGGTTGCGGAGATCTTCGACTCCCTCCAGCATTCCCGATATTTCACGGTGTTGTGTTCCGGATACTGGCAACTATCCATCAAGGCGGAGGGCCGGGAGAAAACGGCGTTCATGGGTTGTGACACCCATTGTTAAATTAGACGGATAACTTTTGGTTTGTCTGGTGCACCATCCACATTCCGGTGCTTGATACTTTTTTTTAACGAAGGGGCTACAGAATGTTGCCATGTGCGAAGACGATATCGTTGTGTACAGCAGTTCAGAACCAGAGCAAACAGTTCACTAGAAGGCCATATCCGGCAGGCTGCTCTGCGGATAAATGAAGCCAAGAGACAGCTCGCTCGGAGTTCGGTGACAGACAACTAAGCTTCAAACTGCTCAGGGTCGGAGAGGTGCCTATATTTGCACCGTACGCTTGAGACTGGTATCGGTGGAGTCCTAAGGCAGAGGAATGGTGTTATCGAACATACCAGTCGTGTCCTAATGCTGAACTGAAGTTTTCAGCTATTGAGAAAGAATGTTCAGCGATCGTCTGGTCCCTGGATAAATGGATGCTATACTTGCTGGGACAAAGATTTCATGTCGAGACCGATCACAAACCCATGGAGTAGATCAGGACCGCCAGAGAAATCCGCGGAAAGCTCGCGCGCTGGGCACTCTGGTTGCAGGGCTACGACTTCACGACCCGTCACGTATCAGAGAAGGCGAACCGCCTGGCTGATTACCTTTCAAGACCAGAGGCTAGAAATGAGTTCCCCACGATCATGACTAGTGCCAGTAGCCTCATCGTCGAACTAGATCCCGGAAGTCTGGTGCAACTCCAACGGCAAGATCTTGTGTTACGGAAGGTTGCAGCTGCCTTGTTGGATGGAAGGAGTATATAGAACGGGGAGGGAGACAAGGAATTAGAAGCGTCCCAGAGTCACTTCGATAGGCTGAGTCTGAATGAAGCTGGCATTTTTTCCTTGAATGCTACCTATTGTAATCTTCATGCTGCCCGTGATACTTCGCGTCTTGAGACGTAAGCTTATCGTCGAACGTCACTAGACGCACGACTTACTTCGGCAGGGGGCCTACTGGCCCGGGATGAGAAGTGAAGTGATGAATTATGTGGTATCCTGCAAAGGGTGCCAACTGATGAAAGGGGATACGGCAGGGGCATCCCATCCCATGGAACCCATTCCTGTCTCAGAAATCGGTAAGTTGTGGCCCGTTGACGTCATGGGCCCCTTTCCGGTGACGGCCAGCGGAAATCAATATATCGTGATAGTGACAGAACACCCGTTGTGATGGGCAGAGGCGGTAGCCGTGCCAAATCATTGGGTGACGACGGTCAGTATCCTCCTCAAGACACGAAATATTACTGGTAGCACAACATAAGAATCGGTGGCCTTCCAGCAAATTATGCCAGCTTCTCTCAGGCTTAGCCTATCGAAGTGACTCTGGAACGTTTTCAATTCCTTGTCTCTATCTCCGTTCTGAATACTCCTTTCATCCATCAAGGCAGCTGCAACCTTCCGTAACACAAGATCCTGTCGTTGGAGTTGCACCAACCTTCCTGGATAACCGTTCAGCTGTAGCAGCCGTTCGGTGCCTAGCTGCCATGCCACCCGAGGGAAGCACGAGGGCTGGATACTGCCAGGTTGCCCAAGTCTAGACAGGGGAAGTCGAGAGTCGGAGGTCGGGTTCGAACCACGGACCTCCCGGTCGGTAAATTCACGCTCTGACCACTTGGGCCATGTCGTTCTGATCGTATTGTTGTAGATGAAGTCAGTGCATGAATCTGCAAGAGTTTGCTAATTTGATACACCTATTGTGGCAAAGCGGCATATTTTTGAATCCCAAGGGTGTGTTTATCAGGCTACAGTACGTGCTGTTTTATCGTATGGCTGTAGGACTTGGCTTGTGCGAGCAACGTGACAGATGTCTTCAGGTCTTCTACAATCGTTGTCTCAGAACCCTAGTTCGTATGGGTTGGTATCGTATCCGTAATGGGGCAATTAGGAAGTGAGTTTTTGGTTTTGCAACGGGATTTCCAATAAAGACTGCCTCCAGCCCCAGAAGTTGCGTTTGTTAGCCTGTATATTGAAAAAAGTCGTTCAGTTGTAGCACCTTTTCGGCACCTAACTGCCATGCCACACGGTGGTTGCATAAGGGCTATGATACTGCCAGGTTGTCCAAGCCTAGACAGGGGAAGTCGAGATGCAGAGATCAGGATCGAAGCACGGACTTTCCGGTCAGTAAATTCGCACTCTAACCACTTGGGCCTTCTCGCCCGCATATTGTGCATACCAAACCATCGATTACTGAAGAGAGTGCTGCTTTCCGTGCCCAATTCAGATTGGTGGAAGCAGAGAGATGGTCAACTTTTGTCCTGTCAGGGTTGTATAAAAGAGGTTCTAGAAAGTCTGGGTGCTGTGGGTGCGACTCGTCTTCCAGCATGGGGATCGCGTGTTCCACATGCTGCCAGGTATGGCCGCCAATCGATGTCACCGGCGTTTCTGTTGCCATTTTTTATCCAGATTGACTGAATGAGAGCCTGGAAGTGTAGGTATTTCGGAATGACTGTAATAGATTAGCACTACGTCTTTTTTCGTCCACTTTCATTCCTTTCTTCACAATAAGACTTTCAAATGAATCATGGCTGTATGGCAGCGAAGCATTTTTCTGCAACACTAATGTCCTGTAAACGTTGATGCGCGTTCACCAGTGTCATTAAGGTTTGTTGATTTGAGTCTCGAGGTAAAGCCATGCTGCCCTCTGCGACAGCAGTTTGAAGGCCGTCAAACTTTTCCCCCAGGTGACCAACATGTCCATATTTATAGGATCAGCGGTGCTGCTTGCCCCCCAGGAAGGTTAGAAAAGTTTGGCCCTAAAAACCGCACACTCCGATCGCCCAACGGTTGACCGTGTCACCCGTTGCATTGTTCGATACGGTCAAAGTACTTTTAAAACCAAAACGTCTGAGGCTGTTTCAGAGGCGCCTGCATTAGAAGTGAGACAATAATGCCTGCGTCCTCGGGCACGCCGGTCCTCTGCAGCCAAGCGGGTCAGACCAATGAGTCATTGGCTCTGGTAAGGATCTCTCGGGGGCAAGATGGTTCAGTTATTAAGAGCACGAATTTACTGACCAGAAGGCCCGGGGTTCGAACCCAACCTCTGCCTCTCGACCTCCCCTGTCTAGGTTTGGGCAACCTGGCAGTATCCCAGTCCTCGTGCTTCCTTCGGGTGGCATGGCAGCTAGGCACCGAACGGCTGCTACAGCTGAACGATTTATTTCTCTATTTATAAGGATCCCACAACAAAACCCTAACAACTGCTGTCTCGCGGTTCAGACTTGTAAATCAGAGGCTACAGACAGGGTCCCCGAACAAAACGCTACATCCTCCCACTGCCTTGTGGGCCAGAGGGAAAGCGAAGTGATAACCGGGCCCTTACATGTGTTCGATCTGAATCAGGTTGCATATCAGTCGGTAACTGATAGCCGTATAGTCCACTTAAATCCATGGTTTTCTTGGGGTTGTTGTCCTCCTGGTAATTCTGTGAGCATTTGTTTGGGAATTTCGTACCGCGGTACGCTTTGTTGAAGAAGATCGCACCGGTTTGATCATTGATAGTTTCGCGTAATACCGGTAACTCGTCAGCTCATTTCTCGATCTGATTTCCCAACCCACAAGACCGGTCAGGAGCTTCAGATTGGCATCTCTGGGGTACGCCAGAAGAACACGTATTCCGTATACCAGAAAGCCGTCTGCGGAGCGCTTTTCGCTCTGCCTTGTGCTGAGTGGATGCGAGCGATAACAGAGTATGAAAGTACCAACCAATAAAATGCGTCGGGTCGACAACTGCCACCTCCTTGGATGGAGATTCAAATCGCTAGTGGTTACTGATTATGTTGGGCATGGCTGAATCACGTAGACAGAGGCTCTCCTTCATCGGCGTTATCGCGTTCAACGTGCAGCCACCAAGCTTCCTGTTTCTTCGAGCTCCAGGTGGCTCACTGCATTAGGTGTGAACCTACTTTGGGTCCAGAAGGCTCGTGAGCCGAATCCAACCCTGGCGTCTCGGATGCTCCCGTACGGCTTTGACACCCCGGCAGGTTCTCTGTTCTTTTGCTTCCTCCGGATTGCCGTGCCCCTCGGGACTGAAAGAATGTTACAGTGGAAGGATTGTTCCTCGAGTGTTGTTCTCCGTGCCTCCTTCAGGATGGCGCAAACCGCGAGGGAGACAGCACATGACTTGGACAGAGATCATGGAGATGTCTGTCCTCAATAAGCGGCTTACCAAGGGAGTCGAGCCTTTGGTGAGCAACGAGATAATTCGATGGTAAGCTCGGACAACCCGCCTTCTAGGGCAGAGCAATTTCATAATGTCCACCTGTCAATCTCAGCGAAGATTCTGCCACAAATAATGCCTGTTCGTCAGTCTGGGACGCAGAGCGCTTGTGTGATGGTGGGTCTCTGAACTCTATGTCAGACATATATATATATATATAAACTAGACGAACCTTATGGCTGTACGGCAGTGAAACATCAGTGCCAACATGTTTGTTGCTGTCTTTGATGGTGATGATGATGTGTTGTTCTTCCTGCTACTTCAGATAGCTAGACTGATTCAATGCGAGCCAAGGTCTGCAATACCTGGCTCTATCTGCTCTTCTTTTCCACTTCACAGTTATGAAGCGCATACCAAACCGTGTGACAGAAATTATACAATTAGATATCCAGAGTGGATTACATTTCTGAAGAATATGAATTAGGTGGAGCACCATCGTCCTCCTACTCAAGGTCTCTGGCCAAGCTTTAAGCAGCACATCAATAGCAAAGATGACGAAGAATCGTGAGAGAGGGCACCCTTGTCTCCGACTACTGGACGTGACGAACTCAAACGAAAACATGGTTTATGCGCTTGCACTATGTGGCCACATCAGTTCGAATACAATGCCATCATAAAGGATGAAATTTTGAAGTGACTTTGATCGCCGAACATTTCCGGATCTTCTGGCGATCAGTAACGTCAAAGGTAGCTTTTGCATCAAGAAAGACGGTCAACGTGGTATGTTTGAGTCTGACGCTGTTCAAGAACTTGCCTCGGAGGAACGATATGGTTGATACATCCTCGGCGAGGGTGACATCCAGCTTGATTCTCACGAGTTTGTGTCCTCGGATGGTCGACTAGCTTGCACAGAACAATGTAGAAGGCACCTTGGATGTTAAGGTGGCCAGTCTGATTCCATGACGTTTTTGTGAACCTAACATTTTTACTAAGTTTTTGTCCAGACCGAAGAACGGATTTTGATGCAGATACATCGCTTCGAGCTTCTGACTCAAAGCTCTCACCTATAAGGTAGTTGGGTTTCGTTCGGGCATCACTCCCTTAGTCTCTGATTCAGAAGTGTGGACCGTGAGTTAGCGGTTATTAAGGCTTTCCTAGGAACCCTTCCCGTAGCCACTGATTCAACAAGCGAATGCCGATGGCGTGGCTCAGTCCCTGGTTGTTACTCCTTTTGTAATACCCAGGTTGACTCAGATCACGTTGTTTTTCGGTGCAGCTAATACATCCGCTTCATCTAAAGCAGGCTGACCTCAAGTACAGCTGACAGCTACCTTAGTTCGAGAGCATGCTCCGTGATTTTGGAAGTGGATTCCCGTGACGATATTCTGTTTTCTTTCAGGTCCGCTTTTCTACAGGTTGGTCGGTCTGTTGCTGCGCACTATGGATGACTTGCCGACCTTGTTTCCATCACTTCTTAAGACCTATCAAGAAGTAACCAGTTTTAGTGGATCACACTCGAGTGACGAATTCAACGTACTTGGTTTTTCTAGTGTTATTGCGCTCGATCTAGGCAAAAATCAAGCGTGCATGCTCATTGTGTGAAAAAGCCGTTGACCTCGTAAATTCTTTGCAACTGTTCAGCAAGAACGAAAATGTTGATGATCTTACCTCGACAGAAATTAGGTAAGTGCCCTCGCTCGCTCATTGCTTCAGATATCTCATAATTCCCGCGCTCTATGGTTATTTTCTCAGTCAACGCAATGATGAACGCCTTCAAAACATTCGGACCGCCCTAGTATATGAAACAGTTTATTTTATCTTTGAGTTAGACTCTCTATAAAGAGTTTGGTGGACTTTGTTCCTCTTACGGAATCTGTGAACCAAATTTGAAGGAGTGAGTCATAACTACTTTCATCCGTCACACATGCTCCCTCATCTCGCAACTTTCACCTGATCACGAATAGCTATCGTGCCGTCCCTTTGTCAATACTTGTATTTTTCGCCTTGCTTTCCGCTCCCGTCCACGGAGCATCTGTTGGATCGGTTGCGGTTACTGAGGAATTTTCCAACGACAATCACTCTTTCTTAATTATACTAAAATGGCCTCGAATTCGGCCTGAAAAGCCAGGCTTAAGTCGCGATTCACAACCGAAGGGCACTGTACCCTATGACGAAAGATAGCGCGAGAACTGATTATGTCATAAAGAGCGTCAGCTCATTGCATCTTTCTCTAATAGGGCGTTAATCAAGGGGCTAGACACTACTAAGAATCATTATGTGTACCTATATTTTGGTGGAAGTGGAAGTGAATCCTCCCATTAGCACCCAGGTAGCTGTTTGCGCTCAACATGTACATTTCCGAAATCAAAAACCGACGTTGTCTAATCACTTTGATTTGGACTGTGTGAATTCGTAGTAAGCAGATCTCGAGGAAAAGTATCACTGGTGGAGAAGTTGTTTTCTCCACTATATTTTATTTAAACGTGAATCGTAAATTGGAGTAAGCTAAGTCATCTCTTTACAGAAAAAAAATGAAAGGCAGCAGTCAGGAAATACCAGCGTGAATCTCTTTACAGAAAAAAAATGAAAGGCAGCAGTCAGGAAATCGAAAACCAGCGTGAGTTTTCAGTGCTTCATTTGATTGGAACAGATGAGGGTTGTTTCCCACCCAACATGGATAGAATTGTAGGTTTGGAATAGCACGCACATGGCGGAAGTAGACATTACTCAGTTATATGTGTAATCCGAAAAAGTTCTTCCTGTGTCCGGTTACCATGCTCTTATTCATTGGGTTACGAGCTGATCTGAAGGTAACGGTCTATCATTCTTTGCAATATGAATGTAAAAGCAATAAGATATTTTCTGTCGACGATCACCACTTGTATAGTTATGGAGACGTCATTCTTATCTTCCCTCCAAAGGCAGGTCGGGTCAGAAATACCTTCCATGTATTAAACACTGACATAATGCGCTAAGTTTACAGCCCTTCGATCCCGAGGTAGATTCTAAGCGTAATCTCTACTTGTATTCTGCCAGAATTCTTACCATATGCCTCGTTTCGCCACATGTGGTTTGCGGCCAAAAAATGCATGCCACATAAAACTGCATCAGTCATTTTCCCACCAATTACAGCGGCACCATTCGTTTCCTTTCCTGCTCGGTATTTTTCGTGAATATTACAAGTAGTCCTTTAATTACGTTACATATGGGGTTGATGAAAACTGTTCACTTGGGTCTCACTGTTATACTATCTACACTTTTTGTAAATCATGTTGAGCCCCTTCGGCATTTCCGTACTGTTATCGTTTAACTGTAGCACTCTTTCGGTCCCTAACTCCAATGCCACCCGAAGGTTGCACGAGGGCTGGAGAAGCACGAGGACTGGGATACTGCCAGGTTGCCCAAACCTAGACAGGGGAGGTCGAGAGGCGGAGGTCGGGTTCGAACCCCGGGCCTTCTGGTCTGTAAATTCGCGCTCTAACCACTTGGGCCATCTCGCTTGTTCTCAGTCGTCTTATTAGGATCAGAGACAACGATATTGTGTAAACCGTACTAAAAAACTGCGTCAACTTGCTTTCTTTGGCAGAGTTATGTGGTGTACTGCTGTGAACATTTCTATTCCACAGTTAGGGGTGGCTCTCGTCGTCAGACTGTTTGGCTGTAACACCTTTCGGCACCCGGTTACCATAACGCTCGAAGAAAGCACTAGGGCTGAGATACTGTCAGGTTGCCCAAATCTAGCAAGGAGCAATCAAGATGCTAGGGATGGATTCGAAGCGTGGAATTTCCGATCAGTAACTACATGTCTTAACCACTGAGCTGTCTCGAGCTCGATATGGCGTCAGTAAATTCTGAAGTAAGTTCATTTTAATCAAACCACCACGGGATTGGTTTGGATGTTTGTAGGCCATACACACAAAATCCGCATGCATTATTTTTCACAAAGTGAACATGGACCGCTTATCCACAAGTCTGCACTTAGGATGTGTTAACTGTTCGAATGAGATGCTAATTGATATATTGCTAGGCTTCTCCACTGAAGGCCAGTTTCATGCCAGTCAATTTACGCATTCAACTCATAGCTATAATGCCATTTAATCTGGTTCATTATGTGTTTATATCGATCAAGCCAACACAAATTACTATGCGCCCACACCACTCGCTAAAATGTGCATGCAATCATGTCGATGTGGTAAGATAGAAATGTGAGCAGCACAGAATATTCTACAGATGGACCAATCGTGAACTTATGTTCAAATGTCCATCATGGTCACGATCGCTTTTGCGATACCAGACACCGTAAACCGTCCCATCCATACCAATTTGCAAGTGTCACGTGTGTTTCCAGATCGGATCGTCTCAAGATCTGACTACGCAACTAACTTCAGCTACGCGCTGGCAAAAACGTGGAGCGATCAGAAAAAAAAGCCCAGAGACCTCGACTGGAAAACACAGGAATGATACACTTTGATGTGCTTCAAGGGCTTTCTAGCTTGAAGCGATTGCGGTGGTCTTTCAATGGTTGGGTTTTTAAGGTATCTAAGCAGATAATACTCCGAATTGTCCTATGAACATGCGTCCAATCTACACGTGTGCATCACTGCTGTGTATTTTTTCTATGACTAGTGTGTCGCCCAACCATTGGCGCACGATGTGCACCGTTCGAAGATTTCAACCAACGGTTTGCCATGTGACTTACCTAACCTCTTCGCTGAAGGCCTGATGTGAACCTATAAATTGCACTCACTGGTGTGTAACAAAGTTCACGATATGCTTCGATCGATCCCTTCAATGGAAAGCTACACAACACTCAGTCTTCATGATACTTAGCACGACCTCTAAGTTTTAACTGAATGTTGTCATAATCTAAACTTGAAAAGACAAAAGAAAGCAGTGTCAACAAATTTTCACAATTTCTCCGAAATAAATTTAGTTTTTTAGCCAAACACCACTTTCAAGAAAATTAATATTTGATTCGGTAAACTCTCAGTTAGTATTCAGCTTTTTCATTGGGATCATTACAGTGTTTGAATTCAGGAATCCAGTTTAAAAAAATCTATTTTGACCTCCTACTTTTAACTGTACTTTTTTTACTTAAAGCTACAGTACGAAGTTAGCTCGAGATGGCACAGTGGTTAAGGCGCGAATTTAGTGACCGGCAGGTTTGTGATTCGAACCTGACCTCCTCATCTCGACTCCCCCTGTCTAGGCTCGGGCAGTCTGCCAATATCCGACCCCTCGTGCTTCCTTCGGGTAGTGTGGCGGCCATTCGCCGAAAGGGTGTTGCAGTTGAACGATAATACGACGTGGTATAGAGAAAGATGTGGTCACCCCATTATCAACCTTTTGTACCCGTTTTTGTGCTGTGGTACAGTCAAGCCTCAGTAATTCGTGAAAATCTCACTACCTTATGAGTACAGCCGACTCGTAGTTACCCGGATTTGGAAAAAACGGTGTTCAAATGAAATTGTACGTTTTGTCTGGTATTGCCGAGATCCTTACGTCTCAGGTAAGTCATAATTCCGTGAACACATTAGGCTCAAACGTCTTGATCATTCCTGTTAGGCTGAAGAGAAGTTTCCACATGAGATCCTTGTAAAACAACATCTAAAGTTCACCGAACTTTCTGTAAGCCATCTGTCGCTCAAGCTTAGTTAGTTGAACTCAGCTGCTAAATAGTGTTGATTCAAATCTTCAGTAATCAAGAGGGATACCTCGCTATTGATTCCGAAATAGGGTGAAACATCCGCAGGTCATCTTAGTTTTAAGGCGTTAATGACTTGGCCGTGTACAGAATCGTATACGATGCTAGTTCTTTCCCCTTAATGACCTCTAAAATCAAATTTTACTATCATTCGGGAACTGACTTGACTCTGTGCTTCGCTCCTTATAATGAAATTGTTATGGTCTCTACCGATGTATCAATTACACTTGTCAGTTACACTAGAATCGAGGAGAGAACAACCGATATTGAGGAACTTAGAACAAATGAACCGGAGTGTTAAAGAATGAAAAGCTACAATGAAAAGTCTACAAGATAAATTGTTAACAAAATGGATTTGTTCGTTTGAGGGCCCTCTTCCTAACAGAAACATCAGGAAATCGAAATATCACGTATTTGGATTCTGCGATCACTCCTTGTTTGAAAACAAGCAGTGGAACAGCCTCGACTGTAATTAGCAAGCAGTAAGGCCGTTTCTACAGTTGTTTGTATGTTCTGAAACTAGGTTTGTAATCCTATGGTTGCATGAGCCATCTTTACGGGACCTAACTTAAAGACATTCGGTACCTAGCTGATCGTACAATGTTGCGCCAACTTTTATCCAGGTGTACATTTGTTGTGGAGTATGTTTTCGTAAATAACATCGGCATGCAAGGTTTTTGCAGTTTATTGCTACACTAACTTGTTGGCAGTCTGAGTCGTCTGACTGACAGAATGTTATCTTTTATGTAACCAACCGTATCCTGTGTTATCTACCACAGTTCAAAACTCGCTCCTGCTGCTGCTGCTGCTTTGCCCAGCAATGATGCTTTTCTCACCCGAGAAGCCAAGATAAAACGATACAAAGAAAAGAAAGCTCTGGAAGAAAAGATGGGATCTTTATCCTCATACCTAGACCAACCACATGTGGATGAAGAGATAACGGTGAGTTCTTAACCTGGTTGTTACTTCCATTGCAATCTTGATTGAAGAATGGGCTTTTTTGCGGCCCTTGTTTCCCTATTTCTTCTGCTGGGCATGCATGGTGTCTATCGAGGGTCGCCTGAGCCTCGAATTGTCATTAATGAATCGCAAACTGTAGCTTTCACTCCCTATCAATTCAAAATGCATAGTGTGATTTGCGCGAGTCGGGGAATCTTTCCCCATGTCTTAGTTTGTCATAAACTCAGAATCGTAGTGTAACTTGCTCACTTGCGGCCTGTCATCCGATCTTCATGTCTGCATCCCATGACGAACGTAATACGCTTTTCTTAGTTGGATAAATGGCCGCATAGCCCATATAGTGGTTTTTGTGGGGCACGTCTCATGGTTGCAGGAGTACTTTTGGTGCATGTTTTGATCGATAGTGCGTTGAATTCATTAACATGTATTGAATTTAATGCTCTCATTTTCGCTCTGCAAATTTTCCGTCTCTGGTTTTGTTACGTGTAAGTACCCATTGCCTTTTGTCTCCTGCGAGTTTCTGCAGATTAGAGCCTCTGATCGGTTGATTCACTCTCCAGATAAAGGCACAGTGGGAATACCTTGTGCGACTGGCCTAGATTTATTGATAGACTATCGTTTTAAGCAGTTAAATGCACCATCGCCTCACTAATCCGCCAAATCTTACATTGTGGTGGCCGATAATTTGACCTCGAATGGTCGCTTAGTCACTATCAGAAGCACTTCGCATTTGGAGTTTGGTCGAAAGTAATACCGCTGAACCATAGGGTGGAACAGCACTGAATAACTTAGTAGTTTGTAAGTTCCTGATATTGTTGCATTGTAAGGGCACGTCGTCTTGCCACATTATCTCGTTCGATGGTTCATATGTGAGTTTAGATTAAAATAGTGCGGTGAGCTAGACGATGACCACTTAAAATGTGTCAGTTTGTTCGAATCTCATTTCCTTAACCGAGTGCAAGTAGCGTGCGATGCGGTTCTTACTGACCACCCCTCCAAACGTGTTTCCTCGAGGAAAACAGCACTAGTCTAGTAAGCTCAAACAACAACACAATCATTCAGCTTACCCCCCTTTCGGTGCCTAGCTGTAATGCCGGCCGAAGAATTCTCCAGCAACAACACAATCATTCAGCTGTACCACCCTTCGGTGCCTAGCTGTAATGCCGGCCGAAGGAATTCTCCAGAATTTAGTTCAGACGGGTTTACTAACTGAACTTCTCCATGTAAGTATAAAAAGTGTCCTGTCAAGTGAAGGCGTAACTATACGTGAGATGCGTTTGAATAATTCAGGAACCATATGAATATTGTCCATTGTCACCTATAGAGGATAAAGTGTCGCCAGCCTACCACAAATTGAGTCAGCTACTGTTGACTGGTTTCCAGTATACTGGGACACTATAGTCGTGAGGATCTTATCAACTAGGGTCAGTTAAGCCGATTCCCATCAGTGGTGTTTATTCGAGAGGGCTGCTATACACTCCGTGACTATCGCAAATGACTTTGCTCGTTTCCGTAACGAGATAATCCCCTGTTTTCCTCGTAGAAATCCCACCTGAATTCCAACTACTGCCCTCCTTTACCTTGATTGTCACCAACATTGATCGTGTTCCCTTCCGTTCTTCACTCCCTCTACTCATTGCAATCAACTGTACATTCCTCTAGCGAGAGTATCATCTGACTCTCGTGCGACACTGGGCACTCCTTGCTGAGGACGAATACCCTACTTTGGTACAAGAGGAACAAATTTTATCGCTCAGTCCGCAAGACTTCAAAGAGCAGACGCAGCCAGCAGCGCCAGGGGGCAAACCGTTCAAGCCCTTCATTCTCACTCGGAATGCGGTTCAGGCCGCTGTCTTTGGAGCCGGCTATCCTAGTCTGCCAACCATGACGGTGGATCAGTTTGCTGACGAACAGGTGAGTTCCGGTTGCTCCTGACCGGCTTCTGCTCAGTTTTGAACAGCTTTCTTTTTTGACATTCTCTTTCATGACATTTCCCTTTTATGCAAACAGTTCATCAAAATATATCGTTATCGTTGTGTGGTGACGCAGTAACGATACATGAGCCACATTAGCAGCTTGTAAACCACATTCCTCTCCCACCAGAGTAAGGTCATGTGTTTTTCTCTCGTCCATTATAGGCGCTTCCAGTTTCTAGATGTGACTGAACTTTTTAATAGTTAATCTAACTGTATATTAGTCTGTCGCCCCGTCACTGCTCTTTGCGAAGACCAAAGTATTTGAGCCATGTGATAATTTTGTTACACAAGACAGTCATTAGTTTCCCGTGTTTCTTTATTTAAATATTTCGTATGTAGTTGGTAGTCATTCCATGACATGTCATAAGTATGGGTTGCTAACCTGTATTAGAATTGCCGCACGAATCCTATCTGCAGTGTCGCTTGGTGGCCAGTTTATCATGTATTTAAGTTATCCTATTCACTGACCATATTCTTCATTTTCCTCCAACCCTATCGCAATTGTCTCTTTGCATGCACCCAATCGAATGGAATCCTCCAGATCAGAAGAGGAGTATTCCCGGCTGTGGACTCAGTGCTCCCTCCTTTAAACCCGAACGAAACTGTTCGTCGCTATGATCCATCTGATGCCGAGCGAATAGCTGATGAAAAAAAATCTGCTGAAGACGACACTTTGGAGGACACTGATGATCCACAATATTTGCAGAGAGCACGGGCTATGGACGAATTCAAAGACGAACACCGTCGGGGATCAGGAAACCGTATGAATCGAGCCTAGACATGTTGAAAGAACCTTATAGTGACTCATTCATCGCTTCGGATTTTTTGTGAACAGGCTACCACAGTATAAAACATTTGCATTTCACGTTTTACCTTCTATGTTCCCAATTTGTAATATCTACACATTGTTTTTTCACTGAGCGAAGCCCGGGTTGGTAGATTCCATTTTTAAATCGACCTACTTCTTTACCAATTTCCCCGCATCCTTGATCCAAAAGCTGTGACCAGTGCCAGCGCTTTTGCAGCCTTTATTCCCACAAGAAAGCTCATTTGGTCCACGGCTGTGAACTGTCGATGTTCAATCCAAATTACAAACCCCCCTCCATGTCTGTCTTTTGTGACTGCGTTATATCAGAGCGCTTTTGATTAATACGTTTGGGATCAATTCAAACAAGAAACAAATCCCGGATAACTAAACGCTAGATTGGATAGATGTACATACTCTAGACTCAATAATATGACAGAATGTACGACGTTCCGGAAATAACGGTACGTGAAAATGTTTTTCTCATGAATAACCCACTGCTTTTACAGCCCACCACCGGTTTCGCCTTTCATGGGACTCATTAGCTATGTGCAGTCCTGTTTTTATCCAATCAGGTCCTCGAATATCTAAATATCCCACTTCATCACTGGTTTAATTGGGATACATGGACCTCTGAGGAAGGTCCACTAAGTTGGTGACTCGACAACAGCTCTGCTGTCATGTTTTTTTACAGGAAAGGCGGTACGCCTCGTCACCCAAAACAACTGTCATCACCGTTGTCTACAAGACTCACTGGATTGTGATCTTTAATTTTTGTCTTCGACACTTGGTGTGTTCAATTGTGCAGAACAAACGACACCAAAATGTCCTAAGTATTTTGATTCAACTCGAGCAGCTAATGGTTACTTTTTGGCCCCCGAAAATTTTTTAGGTTGAGTTAGTAGAGCCAGGTTCATCGAGCAATGCGTCGAAATAATACGTTCGCTTCCTATACTGTTTGCCCAAGCTACGCACGAGGACTCAATCGCTGATGTTCGTATGGAGTTCGGTTGTATTTCGTAAATGGGGTTGAACCAACATCTGACCATATGCTTCACTTAACCCGTTCAATGAAAGACTGCTGTGTCAGATGACCAGAGCCTTTGAATTACTCGGTTTCTGGAGCATACCCTAGCCAGCCCACTATACACTTCATTCGATCGTTTCAAAATGCACTGTTTATGAGAAAGTGCTCAGTCTGCTTCCCCTCATTGGTGCTGAATCGGTGCATGGGCGTACCCGGTTTTCAGCAATCGTATCAGTGAGCTATTATGCCTATACTGTATATCCCTTCTCGAAATCATCTTAGATAATTAAACACTGTCAACTCTCCACTCGAGTGGTCGTGTGACTTGAATCTAGCACGATCGCCCTCGAAATCTGGTCACACTGCTCGGTCGCATTGCACATCCAGAATCAATCACCCTTGCAGCGTTTGACCTAAAAGGTAAAGGAACATGGGAATGCTACATTCGTTGGAAAATCCACTTGGTGTTAACCGGATGCCCAACTGCATATCACCGGAATCACTCGTATGATAATATCATGCCAGTCACTAATTATTGCTAATCTTCACTGTTGGCACCAACACTAGAGAAGAATATGCGACCTTCAAATAAAGCCTTAGAGTGGGAAAGAACGGGGTAGATAGGGGACCTAGCGCTAGGCCACCACGGATATCCAAGGTATTTCTAGAATTCAACCGCACAATCCGTATGGGAACCGACAGTGTAAACGCCACGGTTATCGGTTAACCACCCGGTGTCCGTCGCCGATCACTGAGATGGTCACGTGGATTCCACTCTGGAAGGCGAACAACACCAACGTCCTTCTCCCACGTCAAGTTTCGCTGGCCTCTAGGTTTTCGTCACTCCATATTAGGCACGGAAAAAACCGCTATTCTCAATAGACGTAGAAAATAGTCCACTCATCTCAGCTAATTTGAGCGTATATCTGGCTCACATGGAAATTGGTGTTCAAGTAGGAAATGAGGCAGACAACACTCCGGGGAACTACCCAGCTGTTCGAGAAACGTGAAACTGGTAGGGTGCTATCAATGGATCTCCGTCAACCTTGTAGATAGCATTGTCTCGAGAGTCAGCTTTTGGCACCGACTGACCTGAGTTTCATGTTGAAAAAACGTGGAGCTCTTGGTAAGTAGACCATATAGATCGTCGTTCTTGTGGTTCAAACTAGCTAAATCGACAGTATTTTGATGACTGCATGAGCTTCAGCAAATGGGTGATCACGATACACTCAAGGCTGAAAACTAAGGAATAGCAATCTTCGGAACGACAAATTATTTGTCGGTTCGCTTTGTATGTATGCAAGCCAGGACTTATGCATATCTGGCTTAGTTCTTAACATTGTACAGAGAATCGACCAGCCCGGTTTTCACGTTTGACAGTTGCGGCAGTTTAACTTTTCCCACACTATGGTGTTACACGTAATAGAAATGCACAGTGTAACGGGAAAATGAACGGTTAACTGGATTCGTAGTAGGTATTCAATGAAATGTACAAGCAGGATAGATCGCCAGCCGCTTTTCAGCTCCAAGCGTAACCCACCTTGCTAACAGTGCGTGTATGTCTTGTTGGCACCTTTGGCAAATTGTGTGGTCTAATATGGATTTTCCTCTGTTATCTGTTATACAAGCTACTGGTCTGCGTTCTCACCATTCAGGCTTGCGCCGCTTCGCCGGGCTTCTTACCCTTGATTGTGGGCTCAACGGAGATGAGGGATAGCCGTTCGTAAGAGCGAGCACACCAAGTTAGTCAAGTTATTTGGTTGATATTTGTCCGTCGGTTTTATGCTGTTGAATAAGCTTTGTTGTGACGCCTTTGAAAACCTGATGAAACCATCTTGTTCCAATGCGATGTTCAGATGTCTTGACCGTCTTCCTTCGAGCTGTTGCAGTGTGTCATCACTCATCCGCTTTTCCATGTTTCCTGCTGTGTGGTTGGGTAACACCCAAACGTCGTTATCTGCTACTAATATGTTGATGTCTCTAATGGTGATAACACTATATCTTCAGTCCGGTATTCCGGTTACACGAAGAATGGGTTCTGTCCGTTGGCGTCCATTGCGAAGAATTGCGCAACGATTGGAAAGATGGGTCAAGACCTTGGAGGCTCAGTTCAGCCGGCCTCACATTATAGCCCCTTAGAGACAATCTATGCGAGCGAATGGAGTGTTAATGTCAGAAAAGATAACAGTAAAAAATCTCCCCTCTAGAACTCCATAACAGATCAGGACCAGACGGTTTGTATTCAGCCCTTTTTATAGAAGATCCTATAGTTACCTGACAAAACATATCAGGACAATTGGGATTGAAGATATGGGTCCCGCAGAATTCAACACAACTATTTTTATCCTCAAAACCGACACGATACACTGCAGTACAGTACACCGGGTACACTTTGGCAGCCACATTGTTGGACGAAAATAAATACAGGTCATTCGCAACCAGTATACTCGCTTGAGTTCCTGCACTAGCATGAATGTATACGACCATCTACTTCATTCGAACGCTTCATTATAGGTTTCCAATGTCCTCAAGCACGAGAACGTCCACTTCCAGACAATGGGCACGAACGTATTAAAACGTCCATTGAGCCGTTCCTTCTGGGGCACACCACTTGATTCCGATCACGCCATGGTGCGCGCACGCTTGACAGTTCGTTTCCCTTCAGGCCCTCGCAAGTCGGCAAGAAGCATGCCAATCCACTGTCTTCGAAGAACTGCCATAGCTCAACAGTATCGATCTGAGCTAGTCCAACAACTCTCCACAGTAAAACAATATTGTGGTGGCAGTGAACATGTGAATGAAGCATGGCAAAATGTGAAAGGAGCTATGCTAGCGGCGTTCAGTGCTGCCTGCCTGACTTCTTCAATTAGACCACAGGATCACTGGATGTCGTCGAGGTCGTTGTCCATGATTGATGCTAGGAATGCCATACCAGCAGGCAACGAGTATTACCGCGCACGCAAATTCCTCAAAAGCCAAATAGTGAAAAGTCTAAGAAAACACCGCGAGC